TATTTATTTTTCAAAAAATAAAAAAAAATATATTTTTTTTAAAAATAAAATAAAAAACTCAAAAAAAAAATCACCACCTCCTCTGCCGCCTCTGCACCACCACCTCCAGTCACCAGGGGAAAAAATGCCAAGTTCATTACGAATGCCATATTTATGGCAGAAAATAATGAAAATGTTGGCATTCGCAAAGAGAAATATGCCATGTTTTTGGCATTTTCAGAAAAATGACAGTTTTTAGGAAAAATGGAATTTTTTTCACCGCCCGGAGGTGGTGGTGCAGGAAGGTTGTACATGCGGTGGGAAAGACATCCATATATTTTTTAATTTTTTTATGGAGTTTTACTATTTTTTATTACTATTTTTTTTATTTTATTATTACTTTATAATTTTTTTAATTATTCTTCTACGAATTTTTTATTTTTTTCTGAATTTATTATGAATTAAACATTTAATTAAAAGTTGTTGGGGCTTAGGACTTGGGCAGGGGTATACTTGTCCAAACATTAAAGTTACTCCTATTCAAAACATGATACTCCTATTTTTGCATTTTGCCTATGTTTTGCTCCTATTTGGGGAATCCTCTCAAACTTAAATCGGGAAGGCATTCAAATGAAGTCTTGAAGATAACTGCGCTTTTAACTACGCAGTTATCTTCAAGACTTCATTTGAGTGCCTTCCCAATTTAAGTTTTATCTGAAATTTGGTATGAGTAAACTAGACTTAATGAATAAGATGTTCAAAAAAAATTATCAAAAAACTCCACTTGGAACCGCCACAAATGACGACTCCCGGACAATAAAGACATTATAAGGACTTATTTGACCCCTTTTATGCAACTTCGAGGACCAAACTGACCCTTACCTCATTTATAATATTTAACAAAAAAAAGAATAATTACCTGAAAGTATATATTTATATTAGTAAGTAGTAACAAAGGAAATATAAGAAATCAAAATACTAAAAATTCAATACTTGTTAAGTTTATATAAAAAATTTAAATAGTAGTTGTACGAGAATTTGAAAACTATAAGAGGGTATGCGACAAAAATACTCATTGTATAAAAATAAATATCTACATGAACCTTTTGATTAATTATTTGTAAATAATGACTACTAATTGTTAAATATTGTACCAAACTTCACATAAAATATATGTTTCAACATTTTATTTGAATATTTATTATAGAAATAAATATTGTTTTGCCATAGTTGTAATTTTTTTTGTTATTATAATAATATTGGTAGTAAAAGGAAAATGTTTAAGATAATAAAATTCAAAACTATATTTTTGTATTTTGGCCCGCAGGCCAACCCGCAACCCGGTGGGCCAACCCACTTAAACCCACAACCCGCGTGGGTTGACCTGCGAAACCCGCGAACTAAATGGGTCGGAAATTCTCAACCCTAACCCACCAATAAATGAGTTTAAACGGGTCAGCTCGCGGGTTTCGGGACATTTTGACGGCTCTAGATAACTTCAAGAGATACTGCAGCTTCCTCGAGATTAATAAAAATAAATTATTATTACTATTATTCACTGATGTGAGTTTTTTCGCACTTAAATTGATGGTAGAATAGCTGTAAAATAACGAGTATCGTCTCCACAGGGACGGACAAAAGGAAATCAAGAATTAATTAAATTCGCCGATTAAAAATAAATAAAATAAATGCGTCGTGCGAGATTGGTTGATTGAATTGAAATTAAACTAATGCGAATGAACGATTAAAATAAAAGATTGGTTTCTCTCTAATTAACGACAAAGGGAGTACGGATTAATTCTGGGGTAATAAGATTTCAGGTTGATCAGGCTTAATTACATGAAATTAATTTAATTGAGACTAGCTAATCATTACTAAGTTCTTACCGCTCTTGCGGCGTAGAGTACAATAACTTAGTGGACCAGGCTGATCTCTCATGAGACATGATTCTAAATTATTGCCAAGACGAGCGAGCTTACGGCCCCTTAATCGCTACTAAACTCTTAGCGAGCGATTAAGTGTGTGTGAAGGTGTCTTAGAATAAACTAGATCTTTCTTAATTAATTCTACAAGCAATTGTAATTCTAGCCGCAGTTCCAGGTTACAAAAGATACAAGTTAAATTATTCAAACACAAATTAAACGACATTCATGTAATTAATCTGTCAAGAAACTAGTCATACATCGTGATTAACCCCTTCATCAATCCCAAATCCCTAATTAAAACTACTCCCGACTCATAATTGAAGAATCAATAGAATTGAGAAGAATAGAAATAATTGTCATTAATTAAAAAGATGAAATTTACAAATAATCCCAGGGTCTTGAGCAAAATAGCGGAAAAACTAGTCTAAACTCGTGTTTAGGCCTCTTTCCATGTTTCGTAACCCTTAAATGGAAGTGGAGAAACCTTATTTAAAGAAAAAGAGTCAAAAATCGATCAGGACAAGGGTTTCGGCGTCAGGCACGACCGTGCATGCGATCGTGTCTCTGGAGCATATCTCACTTTTCGCGTCCAGGCACGGCGTGCGTGCCTTGCCAAGCACGACCGTGCCTGGATTCCACGGAATGGGTTCTTCAATATGCTACAGGCACGGCGTGCGTAATCTCCCAGTCACGACCGTGCCTGGCCTCCAGCGATCAGGTACCTCGTTACACTATAGACACGGCGTGCCTATCTCCCCAGGCACGACCGTGCCGGACCTTTTTAGTCGCCTCGTCAACTTCTAGGCACGCACGGCATGCCTGGCTGCTGGGCACGGTCGTGCGTGGCCTTTTCTTCTTCTTTTTTCTCCGTTTCTTCTTCCAAATACTCCTGAGTGCCCCGAGTCGATCCCAAAGGTTCTCTCTTCATCAATTCTTCACCGTGAACCTACTGGAGACCTCCAAAACTCTCGAAACTCTCTTGAATGCTCATCAATTCTTCTTGATTTCTTCTCAAGCACTGGTGCCAGATCTAATTACCTGATTTTTGACTCCAAACAACAAAAACTCGAACCAACGTCTGGTACACAAAACTTGAGCTAAAATTGATATTTGTGACACCTTAAAGCTAGATAAACATAAAAAACTGATTCCAACACGCATCAAATACGGACTTATCATTTACATAACGGCTTTATTACTTAATCGCAAGAAAGAAGTAATTTATATGAATAATAACTTAATAATTATATTTTAGTTTCATCCTTAGTATTATTTTAATTAACCTTCACGCACCTAATTAAAATTTTATTAAGGATCTTCATGAATACCTGAGCCATATTTCTTAACATATTTCTAACAGTAGTTGCCCTCTCTTAATGTAATTGAAAGATTTTTGACCAAAAAATATGTTTATGAGCGTGGATCAGTGGATGTGCTTTAGTAGCATCCCTAAGAGTGTTTTGCCCCTTCCCCCTTTTTATTTTTATTTTGTAATAATAATTCTGCTTTGTTTAATTCAAAAAGCATTATAAAATTCTTTTCTTTGTTAGAACGTTTCTAAAATATTATTATTATTTATTTTAGTTGTTTTCGAAAGGAAAACTAGAGTTACAATCAATCAATAGCTCCAAAACCACAACATATCCTTTAACAAACTGCATCTAGACTCAAGAGACGCCTTACGATCAGACTCTAAAACGAGCACCTCTGAAATAGCAACACGAATCGCTAATCGCTTACCACCACATAGGCAACACATAGTTCTTATAGATCTTTAAGGTCACCGCACTCTTCACCACTTCACTAGACTCATAAGAATCAAATGATTCTCTTCGTCCCTGATCAGACATAGAAAAGTTTATCCAAAACTGAGCGAATCTTTTCGCTGAACATATTGGAGTTTCGAGGCAATTACCTTTGATCATAACTAAATTAGACATCTCAAAATTACCATGAAATGAACAATCCAAGAGCCAGATACATTCATACATTGTCTAACGAAAGAAACATAAAACTTGAAATAAAAATAAAACAAACTTAAATCTTCTTTTTCCAAACCACCCTAGACACCCGTTCACTCCATGGTCGTCAATTCTGCCTATATTCATAGCACCCCTACCCCAACCTTGTGCCTCACAATCACTCCCTGATTCACTCAACCCCTCAACCGCAGTGACGCCGCCAAAGCCCACCTTCTTATTTGTAACCGCACGCCCTCTTGCAAAGGGAACCAGTCCACCAGTCGAGCTCTGCATCAACCCTGCATCCTCCTCCATTCTTCCCTTTAGTTGCAATCGCAAGATAAAAACAACCGATCTAAAACCTAGCTACACCAACGAAAGAGATCACAGCACCAAAAACCCTATTGCGGACAAGTTGTGCCCCACCAGACCTTAGATAGAGAACTTTTTGTCATTATTCATTTTAGTTTAGAGAAAAAGGTTTTACAATTTTCTAAAATTGAATCATTATAAATTATCCACCCTTATGCCTTAAAAGAGGAGCCAGACCCAAGCTCCCAACCCTGGTAATAAGACTGTACAATATTGTAAATGTCCCATTACTTTGTCATTTTCACAGTAGTGAGTGCACCAAATTGGGGTGGGCATTAGGGATGGACTCAGGTCGGTTAAACCGGACCAGAACCGGCCTGGCCCGCTACTGTTACTAACCGGCCCGACCCGCCAGTCCGGGTCCGAGCCGAGTGCAAAATACCCGAACCACCAGTTTTCGGGGCGGCTACGGGTCGCCAGGAAAGGAACCGGCCCGGTTCAGGCAATTTTTTTTTCTCAAAATCTTTGAAAGGTAAATGGGTTGGGCTGAGTGTTTTGAACAGGTTTGGGGTGTGGGGGTGGGGGTAGGAAGTAATTAGAAAATAAATAAAAAATAAGGTAACCAGGCCGACTCGGCCCGACCCGGACCGGTAGCTACCCGGGCCATTTCCGGCTCTCAACAAATCCAAAAAAAGCCCAATCAGGCCCGACCTGAGGCCTGGCCCAGACCAGCCGGACTCCATCGCTAGTGGGCATCCAACAGGTATAGATTGTACAATAATGTAGAGTTGTTTTCCCGTCCAATATCCCCATTCCCCATTTCCCCCCCATACATCCAAGTTGTTGGCTGCCTAGTAGCTTTATGGTCTTTGGTTCAATCAAACATATACCAAAACGGATTTCTTCCTTGAAGTGGCAATAAAGACATAATTATATGTCTTTATATAAAATAAAATGGCACAAGAATATTTATCTATATATGTAATCATAAAGACATAATTATACATGCAGACTTGTCCGTGTTGATCTGCCTGCCAGCTGCCACATTAATGGTGGTCGTGATTTCTATTGAGGAATCCCGTTCGGATCCCTTTGAATGGTTGACCAAGAATACAGTTTCATTCACGTCAGGCCGCTCTGGGATGGGAATGACGGAATGCCCATTTGCCTTTTCACATGGTCGGGTATCAATCGGTTGATGAGCTCAGCTGAGGCCCCATTTAACTGAGTAATGTAGCAATAAATAATATGAGAGGGTGATGATGATGATAACACTAATAAGCGCAAAAAATGGGATGTCTTTTGTGACATATACTCCGTATGATTTATGCACAATTCTTACCAAAGCCCTTGTGAAGACATTGATTGAAATAATTACTCTTATTTATTGCGTCTCGAGTTTGACCAAAGCAGTTGAATGGGCAGCCGAATTAATCAAAAAAGGTATCTAAAAGAGTTTTAGAATGTCCTGAAGAGGATTGTTTGAAGAAAATATAATGGTGCTTTTGTCTTTTATCTTAATAATTAATAATAATGTCACTCAAGTTTTCAAGAGACATAAGAAGTGGGTTATTACAGAACGCTGTAACTGAATATCTGTAATATGTTATTGTTTTTCCTTTCTGGAGATACAAGGGAAAGCATTTATTGAGAACTATTAGTCAGGCTAACAAAAAAATGTAGGCAACACATATAGGCATACCTCCTGTTTAAAATTGAAAAGAGGTGGCAGTGGGCGCCCATTTGGAAGGCGAGCATTTGGCTCTCTTAGTTCATTAAAGAAAGGATGTGCGCATGCTTCTAGCTGCAAAAGCAAACAAGGCCAACCTTAAACCAACCTATACAGACAATAAGTATAGGAAGTCCATCCATCTCTTTTATAGTAGGTGGGTTATACATGGCTGGCTGAGTTGGTTACTGAAGTGAGTGAGATACTTCAGCAACAATCAATTTTTAAAGCAAGAGAATACAAAGTTGGTTGAGCTTACCGCAGAGCAACGTAGACTTGGTGAGTATTGCAGTAGTCGAGAAGCAAGATCAATTGCTTCAGGGGGCATGCGTTTGTGGAAAACCTAAAAATCATCATAGATGATGCACAACAGCATGAATAAATAAAAACAATGAAGCTAGGAAAAGTGTGCACATCCTTGGGGTGTGTTTGAATCTAAGAAAACTCTAGGAATGGGAGATCACAGGACTCCATGCTAAGGAAAGTAATTTTTTATGTTTGGTCTTTTCTTGTAAAATACGAATGATAGATTAAGACTTTAAAACTGAACCTGTGTTTCATAGAAATCCAAAAACAATACGAGCTTGAACAAGCACAAAATATAAACCCATCGAGATACAAACACTGTTTGATCTCTCACATTTTATTTCCCCTATATTTTCCTTCATATTGTGTTTCCCTTGCACTTTCTATGTTCCAAATGCACACATGAAACCCAGTAAAAGTAAAGCTATGTCATAAAAAATACCTTGTGCCACGGGTGGGCCTTGATTTGAGGAAACCGGAAATCAGTATAGTTCGGGTTCATACAACGAATCTCCTCACGTGTTGGTGTTCCAAGAACCTAGAAGAGATCAAGAGCAGGGTCAAAACTACAACTCAATAAAAAATTATTACTTCTATTATTGATCAATTCCATACACGATTTGGCCAGTCGACTATACAATGTTCCTCCATTTGGTCCTCGACTTTCTTTTAGGCTTAATTTGATCCTTGGGTGCAATTTAGTTTTCATGCATATTACACTTTAACTAAGAAGAGTGTTGTGTTTTTTTGGTACATTGAGGCCAACTTGAGTATTGACTCTTGAAGTCGGGTCTAATTTAGTGAGCGGACAGGACAGATGCATCATCCTTATATAACAAAATTTAAGGACAAAATATGGTCCACATTTCACAGTCGATGACCAAACTGTGTAACAATGTGTAGTAGAGGGACCAAATCTGATACTAGCCCTTAAAAATCAAAGGCACCTTGATAATCTCCACAAGTTGTTCAACAGCATTCTCTCCAGGAAACAATGGCTATTTATTTCAAACACACACACACAAGGTTAGGGTCCAGACAGCACATATCTAATTAATAAAACAAACACACAAATGGAATTAGATACAGGTGTTTGGTTTGACAAAGAGAGAAAATATTGCAACCAAGATACAGATACCTGTCCAAGGAGAAGCTCAGCAAGGACACAGCCAGCTGACCATATATCTATTGAGGTTGTATACTCCGTGGCCCCAAATATGAGTTCTGGGGCCCTATAGTACCGAGAACAAATGTATGATATGTTCGCTTCACCTTTAACCTGATATACACAGTCCACCACTCTTAACACACAATTCATAGCAGTCATCTAATAAGTAATAACCAAACTGTACGGGTTCCATTTGAGTGACTGGTTTTTATTATTGGGATTTTATCCATTGACCTTTAGTCGTACTTGGTTGGTATTAATAGATTTTGGTCAAAAACATTACCGAAATACAACAAAGTAACATATGGTTAGGTTTTGATCTAGGTTAATACGGTTCCATTTGACAGAACCGAAATGTCCACCCCCCTGGGCAATTGGGAACAGATGCAGGCAGCCAAGGGAATACTAGAGAACAGACGAACAGTTATTAATTCATAAAAAGGGCAGCCCGGTGCACATTGGCATACCCTCAAGGCGAGGGTCCGGGGAAGTCTCCCACCACAAGGGTGTAAAAGGGGCAAACCTTCCCTTGTCGTTTTGACAAGAGGCAGCTCCCAAGACTTGAACCCATGACGTCTTGGTCACACGGTAACACCGTAACCGGTGCGCCAAGGCTCCCTTTCAACAGTGATTAATTCATAGTGCAGAAAAAATGTAGGTGGGCAAAAGGTAGGAAGGTGGAAAAGATTTATTTTAGATCCTGTTTGGTAATGCTTAATATAGTACTTTGTATTAAGTAGCTGAGTGGACTTGCAGTTAACATGGCTCAATTGGTTGAAGACTTCAACATACTGAAGTATTTAAATGTGTGTGGGTGTCTAAATAAATTTAAGGAAATCATTTGTCAATAAAGTTGAAATAACAATTTCAGCCATTTCAACCAAAGAATAACTCAAACACGCACTAGTTTTTATCATGAAGACAAAAATGGACTATTACTGTTGAAGCTCATACATCAGAGAAGAGTGACACTTACAAGTACTTTCGCACTTCCGAAATCACAAATCTTAACCTGATGAGTGATAGGGTCAACCTGTTTCCATTAAGTAAATAAAATGAGAGACAAAAAGTAACCACTTTCTCATTAAAAATTCAATCAGAAATATACTACATGCTTACCAGAACATTTTGAGGTTTTAGGTCTCTATGGCATACCCCAGCAACTGTGTGCATATATGCCAGCCCTCTAAATACCTGCAAAAGTTTGAAAATTAAAAACAAAATAAAAGCCAGAGACACAACATAGTAAACTAAAACCAAAAGTATTTTGAAAAAATTACTACAGATTTCAATATTCAAAATTGAATGCTTAACATTAAACAAACATTTAAGAAAAAATGGAACTACAAGGATTTAGTTTACATAAATTTGAGCAGTGCAATGTTCAAGCAGTATCTCTTACAAATACTCTCGTATGAAGCACATAGGTTAAAAGACGTTACTGCATATCTTAAAATTACATAACTGAGGCTAGTTTTTGCTAAAATTCCTTTAATAACTTACTTGATAGGTATAGAGTTTGACATAGATGAGTGGCATTCTCTGGTTCGAATTGCAGTAGTGCTTGAGCACCCGATACATGGATTCAGGGACATATTCCATGACCAAATTGAGAAAAAGCTCATTTGTGGTTGTGGTTGAATAGAAGCAATGTTTCAAAGAAACAACATTTGGGTGATCCATGGTACGCATTAATTGCAATTCACGGTTCTTATATCTCCTGTCTTGCAGCACTTTCTTAATAGCCACTGTTTCCCCAGTTTCTAGGCATTTTGCCTAAATCGCCAACCACCAACAAACTCATTAACCAATTAAACTAAGGTGGCCATTACAGGTTTGTTTAAGCTGAACTGAACAAACCTGAACCAAAATCGGAGAACCCAACCATGTATAAATAGGTTTTAATATGATAATGTTTTCCCAAACCATATTAATTTGAACCAAACCAAACCGAAGAAAAAACACAATAAAACCCTTAAATACCCCAAAACTGAACCCTTTGGCCAACCTAACCAAACCGAAACTTCCAACCATAATAAAATTACCAAATGAAGTCAAGCGATGAAAATGACAATTAGATCCATGTACCTGAAAAACAACTCCAAAAGATCCAGTTCCAACAACACGTTCTGCCATGTAACTTACTGTCTGCATGTTGTATTCACTATTTAGGTAATAAACCTTAAATTAAGAGTATTGGCAACTAATATTAATCAATAATAAATACCCTTCACATTTTTCCTCAAACTCCAATATTTCTATCTCGTGATTTAGTAGAATACAGCACAGACAAGAAGAAAATTGCACTTTTGGTCCCACGGCTATTAGGTCGTTTATGATATTGGTCCCTGACTTTCATTTTATCACTTTATGTGGACGAATACATATTTCTTGCAACTTTCGACCCATCTAATCACTTTCTGGGCCAATTTCCGACAACCTTTGCTGGACAAGTGACAAGACAGGGACGGAAGTGGATAAAATGTTATACCCATGCACCAAAAGTTTAAAAAAATAAAAGTCTATCGCCAGAAGTGAGAATGGCCTAATACTTGTAGAATGGGAAGTGAAAAAAAATCTACTCACAATTTAAATCGTAAAAAAAGGGAATAAAGAATAGTAAACACTCCAAAGCATGAATAGATGATACCCTAAAAAAGGGCAGCCCGGTGCCCATTGTCATCCCGACAAGATGAGGGTCCGGGGAAGGTCCCACCACAAGGGTGTATAGGGGCAAGTCTTCCCTTGTCATTTTGACAAAAGGCCACCCACTCCCACGACTTGAACCCGTGACCTTTCAGTCACAAGGCAACAGTGTAACCGGTGCGCCAAGGCTAATGAGTCTGGCAATAATCCTAGCCCCATGTTAAAGGAAAGTACATCCTAATTTTTTTATGGTATGTAGCTAATGAGTCTGGCAAGGGAAATCGGTTCTATTACCTGCTTCGGCTCTCCATTCTTTCCTCCGATGGTTGTAGATATTATATGACCGGTAACAGTGTCATTCCCGTCCACCACAGGAGCAGCCATTTCCTATAACACACATGCCGGGAGTGGATAATGTTCAAATAAACTTTCTAGAATCTAGATAACATGCATAAAAACAAAAGGCTTTTGGCTTGTTTGGTTAGAGGATTTTGGGGGGTAGGGAAGGAAAGGGTGTGATACTTATTTATTCTTTCTGTAGGTGAAGTGAAAGATAAAAAAATATACTTCCTCTGTCCCGCAAAATAGTTCCCAGTTTCCTTTTTGGGCCATCCCAAAAAATGGTTCCCATTTCCCTCTTTGGAATGTTTTTTGTGGCTATCATTCATTTACCTTTTTCTTACACAACCACAACCATACATTTACACTTTATTCCCACTTTTTTAAACTCCGATCCAAGTCAATGCAGGAACTATTTTATGGGACAGAGGGAGTATTATTTAACTAAGGATATAGTTGATTTTTAATGTAAGACTAATGTAGAGATGAATAAGCAAAACAAAAGAATCAATTAAAAAATCAGTGAAACTTTGTGTGGCTAGAGCATGTACAGATGCATATGGCAATAAGAGAAAGTAAAGCACGGCTAAAGCATTTAGATTGAGCTTATATCCCTCAGAAAAATTCACGGATCAGACCATGTACATTGACCATCTATCCAGATCTTGAGCTATAAGTACAGATCATCATGCATTACCATAAATTATCAGCTTCCAGCTGGTGGAAACAAAGAGGATAGTACAGAATTGTAAAAATAAATACGGAGTATATAAAAACAATCGTCTTTGTCATAACCTCGAACCATCAATCAACAAGAGGAAAACCCTACAGATAATCTCTAAATATGAAAGCAACTCAGATCAATTAGCTAAATGAAAACTATAAATTGTATACTGCTATTTTCCCATTTTATTCTAATCGGCCATAAAAAAATACCTTGTTTCAGCAGCATAAGTTAACACAAAGTAACAGTGATGTGCGCAGTTAGTATGAACTCTCGCAGTGTAAGTTTATATTCGGACCTAATTATGCATTCAAAAAAGGTTTTGAAACATCGAGAGCAATTGATTTCCTTAACGAAAAAACAAAAGTCTTACCTGATCCTGGGCCATAACTCCGGGCTAGAAATGAAAGAATAGAAAAGGATGAAGAAGGGAAAGAAAGATCGAGGAACGAGCACAGAAATGGATATTTTCTTTTTCCTGATCTTTATTGCGCTTCAAAGCTCATACTTGTCGGTTCGGAGAAGAGAGAGAGGAGGAGGAGGAAGGAGAGGACCCATGCTAAGAAATCAAAACACCTCCCATGTGAATCCAGCTCTTCTTTTGGTCTCTCTTTAACCTTGGTCTTTGTTTTACTTAAATAAATTTATTTATTTATGTTCAGGCCCCATTTGTTCCTAGCATTATATAATAATTATTAAAAATTAATTTGTGGGAACTTGACAGCCATGATATGATTGGATGGGTGGTTGCCTTCTTTTGGACTTAGCCAAAACCCCACTCATGACTAAAGTTGAAAGTATTTGTATTTTTTTAATGTGAGAATATTTGTAACATTAACTATATTTATTATACCACGTACTATTACTTTCCTTTTTAAATTCACACTTCCATTTTAGGAAACAAAACAGTGCCAAACAGTGCCAAACAGTGTTCAAACAGTGCCAAACAGTGCACTTCACAGTAAAGTCAAATTCATTTTCTTAATATATGTGAAGTCAAACTGGGAACGAACCGGAGGAAGTATTATACTCTATATTAATCCGGAGATATTAGCAAATCATATCCATTATACCTTGAGTATGATATGGTCTCTATTTTCATACCTCTTACATAATTCTATATTTCTATCTCCATTGATGCACTCTATTTCGGAGTATTGTCTCGCACCGCTAGTCATCGTTGAGGTTGTCCGTCATCTACACGGTGGCTAATCACAGTCTCTAGTTAGCGACTAGACGTATTGTCGCCGTCACAGATCTCGAGGTGAAATCCCTCCATTTCTGGACCAAAATCACCGACGTTAGGGAGACAAAGCCCTTCGAAAAACATGTCATCACAGAGCTAGAAGCTTTTTTCGCGGGATGAATCCCGACTGCCTCTAGATGGGTTCTTGTCATCGCAGAGATGGCCGTCTCTGAATGGGTTCTAGCTTCTTTACGTTATACTAATATGAACATTAATATAAAAAAATGAACATACGAAATTAGTTTTTGAATTTTTCGATTCTTATTTCGTAAGTTATGTATGTCATTTGATATTAGTGTTATACTCATTTTAAAATGTCACATTTATCCATATTTCAAAAGTATAATATTAACTAAATTCGCATATAGACTCATACGAGTTCAGTGTAGATATTTTAAAAAATAAATAAAAAAGTGAAATAAAAGATATAAAACAGATATTATGATGTTGAGTATTAGACTTCTAATACCCAATAGAATAAGTTTGATGCTAATCAAAAGTGCATTAATGCTCATTTAACAAAAGATGTACGGTGCAAGCTGTATAGTCAGTTGTATGGTATACAAACTCAAGGATATCAATAAATGTGGAAGAAAAACAACATGGTGTGCCACATAATTTATAGGGAATAGTACATAAAAGGTACATGTGGTTTGAGCCGTTTTCAGATAGGGGCATGTGTTTCATTTTTTAATAAAGTGCGACATGTGTTTTAGTTCCATTATCACAGCTGTGGCGTGACGTCTGACGCCATTAGAAAAATTAACTCAGCTTTTTAAAAGTCTCCGAAAAATTAAAAGAAAAATATTAGGAGGTGCGCCTCCTCAGGAAGACCTCCGATTCATCGTTCGTTTCTTGTTTTCAGCCACAACTATCGCCAGAAAGTCCACCGGAAAAGTGACATAAGTGAATTCGATTTTAAAAATAATCCAAATAGAGCCCAAAAATCCAAAGAGAACGATAGTTTGTTGGTCTCCTTGACAAGGCGTACCTCCCAATATTTTTCTTTTAATATTGCGAAGACTTTGGCAAATCGGGGTTTTTTTTAACAACGTTAGACATCATGCCCCAAGCTGTGATAACAAAATTAAAATACATGTCTCACTTTGTTAAAAAATGAAACACATGCCCCTATCTGACAACAACCCAAATCACATGTACCTTTTTCCGTATTTTTCCCTAGTTTATACGTAATATGATTTTTTTATGGATAATTTTATGTAAAAGTCAATAAAGCCACCTTTCCTTATTGATAAATTAAGTCCCTTTAATCCACTCTATTAATCTAAAGTAAAATGGAATGTACTCTAGTACAGTTTCAAACGGTATTAAATACTTTACTGTCCGGAAGTAAAAGAGATATTATTTCTTTAAATTGTCTGTTTTTATAATCTATAGGAGTATCTTTATCTTTATATAACATAAAATAACATAGTGTCACAAGTTTTGGTTCCAAAATTCCCGCCTAAAGTGGGCAAAAGTTATACTATCGTATAAGGTTAACTTTTTAATTTAGTAATGAATCTTTTTAAATGATGTACTAATTAATAGCACTTAACTACGTAGTAATACCAACATGTATCGAAATATAAATTCAAACCAAAGCCAAATACATCACTTCGTATAAATCAACTAAAAGGCCACATATCATATATATAGGGGTGCATATAATATTATTGGATTACAGAATGTCCATGCACATATAAAATTTATGGCTGCATAAAGTCTATGAAATTTATGATCGGTATATATATATACCTTATATATGCATGGACATGCTGTAGTAACTCTTATAAAAATTGGATACATACTATTATAATAAATAGTGATGACAACAATAACAATAATAATAAAACAATAACAATAATAATAAGAATCACGTACAATAACATCAGTGAAACAGTAATATAGTTATTTATCCTTATATAATACTATATTTATAAAGTAGCAAAGTTGCTACAACAACTAGAGAGAATTTGCCACCCAAAATATAGGGACAACAATGTAAATTTATTTTTTCATAAAAATGTAATACCGCTATGAATTAATGTAGGCAATGTGTATCAATGCAGACTAAATTGTTTGCCAGGTTATCAAACTTACCAGGTTTTAAAATGTCAAACTTAGCATTATTACCGGGTTATCAAAAGTATATTTGCCAATTGCCATAATGCCGATCGAAAGTGCTAAGGAGTACGGAGTATGTTACTATCTTATTTAATTCCGAGTTACCAAAAGTGTTTTCCATACATGTACCCCTGCGTAGTTATATCTCCATATTTCCTATCAAATGAAATCAATAAATCATAAGTTTAGTGGTAATAAATCAAAATTTATTTAATACACTCATATATACAAATTCCATATAATAAGCACATGTTATGCAATGAGCATAATCAAGAAAGATAAAATGTTACTCCTAAGCATATAATTGCCACAAACATACACACATATTTTATGGCAGGATATTATAATTTCAAAAGAATATAAAGAAAAAAAATGTAACAATTTTTTACTCCAAAGTTCCCGCTTAAAATGTAAAGAGTAGATCTCAACTATGAATGTGTTTGGGTAATAGCGTCTTAGGTGTCAATCCGCCGTATTTTCCAAAAGAAAATGCTGCATTTTGTAGAGTTTAGGTCCCAATCCGCCAAAATACAAACAGGACCTACATAAGGTTAAACATCTAACTTAATAACATATTTTCCTTTTGATAATAATGTATAGTAATTATAATAGTAGGTAATAATAATAATAATAATAATAATAGGTAAAACATGTTTTAATTTTATGGATATTATCATCTATATATTTGGTTTATACTCTATCAATTATCAATTTCAACGGTTTGATCATCAAAATTAAAATTTTCCGAGCTAATTTATATTCTTATGATGATGTTATATTAATCGTCAAAGGTGAAAAAGTAAGTTTGGATGGTCTACATTCGAACAATATTAAGATCTATCGATTCAAACCAATAGTTGATACTAACGAACAAAATAAAAAGATTTATATAATACCGGTTAATCTGACTTTTGAAACGTTTTTAAGGAAATAAGTAGTTAGAATGTTTTTATTTGAATTGTTTTTATTCTCAGATCAGATCAGATCAGACCAGACCATATCAGATCATACTTAAACAGACCATGCCATATCGGATCGGACTTAATTGGACAGTTATAAAATACACAAAGATCAGACATCTTCTAGATCAGACTACACCAGATCAGACTTAAATAGACTAGACCACACAAGATTATATCAGACCAGAACAAAAAGGCTAGAAGTTATTGTCATGTTTTGAAATTCCAAAATAGAACTATCATATTTTTATTTTATAAATTAAAGTACTACATAATTATTATCATATTTTGACATTAATAGACTTTAAACATGATAGTATTTTACCAGCTTCATTGTTATAACTCTTTTTCAAGGAATAAAACATTCTATTTAGGAATTCACAAACGTTTTCATTCCTAGCTACTTAGGGAAATTTCTTCAATAATAATTGGATGACAATACCAAATCATATGTGTGATGAATATCCTTATGAATATCCACATTCTATTTCAGTATTGGAGTTGGTAAAACATGGAGTTTTATATCTTAATTAAGGGCTATTTTAACTATTCATTTAGGTAAACACACAAGTATTCTTAAATTAATTTTTTAATAGTCTAATTATTAAGAGCTACTTTTGTTAACTATTAAATTGGAAGAATCGGGTGAATATGTTGAAATTGATGAAGTTCTAACCAAAACAATTGAATTGGTTGGATTTGCTGAATTATGGAAAAAAAATATTTAAAATATATTTTTATTAGTAAAAATAAAGAATAAGTTATATGAGAAAAAATAAAATGATCTTATATAGTAACTTCAACCAATTCAGCTAGAAAATCAACTTCAACCTTACTAATTTTTATTATTAAATGATTCAGCACAACTAATTAAAAGTTACGCGTTTGGGGGTTGATCCATAAAGTTGATAAACTGAAAGGGTGATCTAGCGGGCTTTAAATTTCCCGTGCAACGCACGGGTTTATCGTCTAGTAATATATAAAAATGGAATAGTGGCACGGAGAACAGGGGCGGAGCCAAGGGCACTTGGCCGGACTGGGCCGATACAAAGAATATTTTTGGAAAAAATTTTACACATAATTTTTTACCCTAAAAATTTAGACATTTTTTAAATTTGGGCTGGGTCAGAGCCAGGGTTGGCCCTCCCCTAGCTACGCCCCTGACGGAGAATGGGCGGGAAAAATGTGACATGCACGTGAGGAAACATCCTTCTAAACCTCAATGGGAATCAACTTTTGGTTTGAAGTGTAAAATAAAAACAGCTAAACCCGTTAGTAATTAAAAAACGGTTTTCAAAAATTATTAATCTGATCTATTGGCCAGCAAAAAT